TTCCAACCATCATCAGTTCTTCCATCTATTAGAGTAATGATCTGAACTACCGGTGCTAAAGGGGAATCTATACTCTGTTTGTCTCACCCCTCCTATGTTTTCCAGAAGGATTAGGGAGGGAAAAGAAAAGAACTATATGGAGAGTATTTTTTTTTTTTACAGGAATCTGTGGGACTTCTTATTAACCAGTATTGGCGGTTACATTATCCAGCTGCAACTGGTCAACTAAAAAGAAAGGGGGACTATCCATCCAGGCTATACATTCATTCCATCTCCTTTCCGTATGTGCCATAATGTGAGCTGCATTATTCCCATCTCGGTAGACATGCTGCCAAGTTCCTGTCCCTGACTCTTCAAGAATGCGACGGATGCTTCTGCAAATTACGCCAATATCCGAATTAATCTCCTCGGCTGTTTGAATTTTTTATACCAATCCCAGGCTGTCAACCTCAATGACAAGGTTCATAAGATGATGCTGCTGCGCTATTTGCACACCAAACTCCGCTGCCCTTGCCTCTGCCGCTTCAACCTCCCATCTACCAGGGATTTTCATAGATGCCGCCATTAGGAACTGGCCCTGTGAATCACGAGCTACCATTCCTAGTCCGATTCCATCTCCCTGAAGGATGGCCGCATCCGTGTTGATCTTTATGCGTCCGGGATCCGGTGCACACCACTTAACATTACCCCTCGCTTCCCCTTGGATCATCACGGCAGCTTGCTGGGACCTGTAGTCAGCGAGAAACGCCTGTGCTCGGGGGATAATCTCCTGCTCGGTCATTTTTATGTCATTAAAGAGTTGGGCGTTGCGTTCCCGCCACAAGAACCAAAGAACAATACACCAGGCTTCGACATCCTCCTTATCCCTCCCGGCCATAGTTTCAACGGTCCATCGGTAGCAGTCCTCCGTCGTCCGACAGGAGAAAAACGCTGCCATATCAGATTGTCGCCATATTCTAGAGGTCCATCCACAGTCTCCAAAAAAATGCACCTGGGTTTCCCTGCTATCTCAGAATGGACATTTATCACTCCACTTCGTACTCTTTGTACTGATTTTGTCGCCCGTCGGTAGGATTCCTCTCATAAAGCGCCACATGAAATGCTTGACTTTAGGAGGAATTTTCATTGACCAGAGGTACTTCCAAATGGCCGCATCACCAACCGGGGTCATAGCGCGTTCTCGTAGGAAGTTGTCTAGCCAATACTTGTACCCTTCCTTGACAGTGTATTCTCCCGACGCACTTGCCGACCAGATTAATCTATCTCTTTCACCATTACCTCTTAACGGAATTTGTAATATGCGCTGACCAACTTCAGCTGGCATGCACTCTTCAATGGTTTCCCAATTCCACCTCTCTGTTACCGGGTCAATAAGTTGCCTGACGTTGGAATCCACTGGGAGGCCGCGCGGAGCCGAGGGGACGAAATCAGGCAAGCCCCCCGGAAGCAGCGGTCACACCAAATTCTCACATCCGCTCCGTTCCCAATGCACCAGCGCAGACCACCGTTGAGGAACTCCTGCGCGCTGCAGAGACTCCTCCATATGAAACTTGGTCGATAGCCTACACTTGCATCCAAAACCGAGCTATGCTTGTGATACTTGGCTCTCAAGATTTGGGCGATCAGGGAGTTGGGGCGTTGAAACACACTCCATAATTGTTTGGCAAGCATGGCAGTGTTGAAGCCTTCAAGATCCCTGAACCCAAGACCGCCCTCCTCTTTCGGCACTAATATACCTTCTCTATTTATCCAATGAATTCTCTTCTCGGATCCTTTCTGCCCCCAATAAAAATTCATGATTAGACTATGAATCTCATTAATGATAGTACTCGGGATTCGGAATACAGACATGGCATAAGTGAGCTGGGCCTGAGCAACAGAGCGAATCAGTGTGTCCCTCCCCGCCACCGAGAGGGTCTTCTCTTTCCAACCCTTCAGCTTCTTCCTAATTCTTTCCTTTATACCATTAAATACCTCTTTCTTGGATCGACCCACAACATTAGGGAGCTCCAGGTACTTGTCATGCTTTTCCACCAATGACATCTGCAGAGTACCACTAATCATAAGCTTCTGGTGAGTCTTAACTTTCCCGCTGAAGCAAATAGCCGATTTCTGGAAATTCACCAGTTGACCTGATTCTTTCTCATATTGGGTAAGAATTTATTTTAACACACCACTTTCCTGCTCTGTGGCCCTCCCAAAGAACACACTGTCATCTGCAAAAAACAGGTGGGAAATCGCCGGTGCTCCCTGAGCTGGCTTTAGACCGTGGAGTCTCTTATCCCGAACCGCAGCTTTCGTAATCGCAGACAACCCCTCCGCACAAAACAGGAATAGGTACGGAGATAGCGGGTCACCTTGTCGAAGACCCCGACTCGGCACAAACGTCTCCGACTGATGCCCGTTTACTAGGACCGAATAGGAGACCGTGATAATACACTTCATGATCAGGTCAATCCAGCGCCGATCGAAGCCCATCTTGGACATCACCCCCTCCAGAAAATGCCACTCGACCCGGTCGTAAGCTTTGGCCATATCGATCTTAGCTGCAAACATCCCCACCCCCGCCTGTGATCGGGACTTCATGGTGTGGAAGCATTCAAAAGCTGCCATAATGTTATCCGTGATAAACCGACCTGGGACAAATGCACTTTGTTCCTGCGAAATCACAAGGTCCAAAATCATCTTTAATCTATTAGCCAATACCTTAGCCACCAGTTTATACAACACATTGCACAAACTGATAGGGCGAAAGTCTTTGGGGGTGCTCGGTTCTTTAATCTTCGGGATCAGAGCGATTAGGGTGTGGTTGAGTTGTGGCGGCATCGGGCCTCCCTCCAGAATACTCAATACCGTAGCAACAACATCATCCCCTACCACCTCCCAGTGCTTCTTAAAAAATAGAACCGAGAACCCATTCGCTCCCGGGGCCTTTCTCGAGTCCATCTGTTTTAGAGCACGGTAAGCTTCCTCCCTGTCAAACGGCTTCACAAGTTCCTCATTTTGCTCTTGAGTGATCGACGCCTAAATGGCGTTCAGGACCGGAGAGTCCGTGGGTGGGCAGGTAGCTGTAAACAAGCTAGAAAAATAGTCAGTAAAACAAGCAAAAATCTGCTATGGCTGTGTATGCCAAACTCCCGCTCCATCTTTGACTCGTCTAATCGTGTTCCTTTTCCAGCATGCACTGGCTTTTTTGTGAAAGAAGGGTGTGTTTTTGTCACCACCCTGCAGCCAGTCCGCCCTTGATCTCTGGCTCCAGTAGAGTTCTTCATTCGCCTCTAGCTCAGCAAGTTCCAGCTCAAGCTGTCTCCGCTGATCATCCCAAACGGCTGTGCGAGGTCTTCTCTCCAGGGCTTTCATAGCCTTTTTTATTTTAGCTTTCTGGGTTCCAAACCGAGGGAATGTCTCCTTGCTCTAGTGCTCAAGGGATGACCTGCAAGACAAAAGCTTTGTTAGAGTATCGGCTCCTGCTTGGTTCCTCCAAACCTCCTCCACCACCTTGGGACAGTCCACATGCTTCGCCCAGTGAGGTTCATATTTAAATGACCATCCCCATTTAGGCTCGACATCCGCTTCTCCTTGCGTATCGCACACAATCGGCCAATGATCCGACCTCTCTTTATCGAGATGGAGCACTCGGGCCACCGAGAAAGTACCACATCACGCATCGTTCGCAGCAAACCTATCCAAGCGCTCCTCGATAAAACCACCATGAGTTCGCCGGTTTTCCCATGTAAACGGGTATCCGTTGTAGCCCAGGTCCCAGAGACCCACATCACTCAGGCATTCATCGAACTCACGCATCGCCGCATCGGCTACCAAACCACCTCCACGTTTCTCTTCTGTAAACCGAACTTGATTCAAGTCCCCACCACACAACCAAGGACCTTCCCACTGTGCAGCTAGTCGTCGAATGAGCTCCCAGGATCTCCACTTATCCGCTTCTCCAGGCCATCCGTAGACTCCTGAGAACCTCCATATACCACCCTCATCCTCAGTAACTCGAGCATCCACGTGATGTAAAGAGAGAGACATAATCTGAATATTTACACCTTCCCGCCACCACAAACTAAGACCCCCAGCTCGACCACCACCAGATTGGTCCGTGGACCAGCCTTCTCCACCCTCGAAACCCAACTCTAGTTGAGTCACCTTATTTTCCTCAGCCAACTGTTTTGTTTCCATCAAGAAAACAACATGCGGGGAATAAAGCCGCAAGAGCGACTTGAGAGATCTAACTGCCCGCTTACTCCCCAAACCGTGGCAGTTATAGCTCAATATGCGCATTAATGACCCAAAGGGGATAGGTTCCCCACACCATTATTCTTAGTTTGGCCTACATTCGCCCCCATCGTACAACTTCTTTCACTCACAGCCCTTGTATCTCCCGATGATAGCCCATTCTTCCCAACGTCCTTTGCATGGCCTGCATGCACATCATTAACCACATTTGTTCCCATTTTCGTACCCTTTCCTCGCCCTTGTGAATTTGTTTTCCTTCCTCCCTTTGTTTGTGGTTCTTGGTCATGCATACTGACTCGGCTATGTGACACAGGCGTGGAACCTTCCTTGCATTCTTCAGACTTTTTATTGGTCTTATTAGAGCTTCCCTTCTTCGAAACCGACCCCTTCTCCTTCATCCTTTCTCCTTGATCAGATTGTGTTGCCTTTCCCGCGGGAGTGGCCTTCTGCTCCAACCCATTATTCACATTCTCATCTTCCTCTCCTAGGACCGCAAATCGGTTCATAGGGTTCTCTCCCCGATTAGTTTCATTAGCTTTCATTGGGCTATCCCCCTTCTTTGCTGACCACGCCCCTTTCCTCTTCACGGACATCCATTCACCATAGACTCTTCCTGACGTTTGGGAAGCAACCGGAGATGCATTGTTGTCGTTCACTATCGGTTCCTCTGTTTCAGCTCCCATACTGCTACACTGGCACTTGCTTGCCGGTTGACCGAACATACCGCACTCACCACATATTTTCTCAAGTCCTTCATACTAGATGATATACGTTACACCCTCAACTTTGTATTGTGACAGGAGAGGCCTTGTTAAGTCAACTTCGACACTAACTCTAGCATAGTTTCCCCGGTCACCAAGCTCTGTGGCACGGTCCACACGGACTGGTTTCCCGATAAGCTGTGCAATCATAGTGACAGCTTCCGCATTAAAGAACTCAATAGGTAGATCTGGAAGTTGGACCCAGACGGTGGCTGACTTCATTGTCGCTTTCCATGGATTAAAACCTTTGTACCAACGATGCACAGTGAGATAAGTCTCACCCAGTAGCCAAGGTCCTCCCTCGGAGGTGAACTCATAATCTTTCTTGCTACGGAACCGAACCAGGAAGCATCCGTTCTTCATGTCCGAGATTTGGATATCTCCATGACGAGCCCACAAATAATTCAGTCTTCTCGCTAATGGGAGGAATGCAACTTTTTTGCCAAGTCCTTGAACAATCAGAGCTGATCTCCACTCGCGTCGCCATTTAATTTTCTGTGTAGCAGTGAACGGCACCGAGGGGCAGCGGGGGTCATCCTCTTCATCAATCTCCTCGTCCTCTTCCTTTTCACGCTGGACATCTTCCGAATCGGATTCTGCAACGTACCATCCATCATCCATGAGAACTTCACTGAATAGACAAGATCCACCACTCCGCCAAGCTCCAGCCAGGGCACCCTCTTTCGTAGCACTCGGGGCTCCTTCTTGTGGGATCTCTGTTTCCATCTCTTCTGGTTTCTCAGTAGCTGAATTTGTTTCAGTCTGGGAATCTGTATCGCCTTGACCTTTTTCTTAGGTTGAGTAGTTTCTTTTGCGCTTTTCCCATTAGGCGACGAGGAGCCAATCGCCGTCCGCCGTGCACCACTGATATCTGGTGGTTTTTTCGTCGGCGGAGGGGTCCCAATCGGCGGTGGCGCCGCCATCGCAAGGACGGAAAAGTATCGGGGTTTTCCTGACAGGAAGGGCTCCGGGTTTCTCGGAGCCTAGGGTTTTTTCTCGGAGTCTATATGGAGAGTATTTGAGAAGTCCGTTTTCGAAGACCAGTGGCATAGTCAGGATTTTATGTAAGGTGGATCCAAAAAAAAATTAATATCCACGTGGCTCATTGAAAATTTTATTTCAACACTTGCAGTGTAGCCTTACTTCGAGTCTAAAACCTGATATATTGAATTCATTATTAGGATAAAAAGAATCTAGTGAGTTTCAACAAAAGGAGGCTTTGGCGATAGATAATGGATAAATTAAGGAATTGAAGTTTGGAGGATGAAGTTATATTTTGTGCTAATATTATTTATGTAGAAACCAAAATGTATTATATATAATGATGATAGCTAAATTCATGATATAATTATTTTTTGATGCTAGAAATATTGATCAATATTGATGAATTTTAGGTGAAAAATCTCATTGTCACTTAATTATTGTAATAAGGAGTGAAAAACCGTAGCGTACTGGTGGTTCGATCAGAAAAATCTCATACTGGAAGTGAAATTGATAGAAGATATTAGCGATATGAAATGGTTGAACCATCATTAAACCACATTTTCAGCATAAAATATTTTCCAAGTATTTTAAATTTCTTTTCCTTATTTTTTCCACCTATAACCATCTTTCTTTTTTTTATCTTGAACAAAAGAAGAAATAACAAGGAAAAGAAAATTAAAATACATGGAAAAAACCAAAAAATTTAAGTGGTCTATGCTGACTTGGTAATGACGTGGCGCGTTGACCATTAGTCAACGCGTTTGACCTCCAAGATAATGGTCAAATCTCGGGTTTGGCCAATTTAGTAACTTGGGTGCATAATTGAGGCTATAATATTATATAAAAATATTGACATAGATTTTTAATATATAAAAATTTCAGGTCATACTGATATATTAATATTTTTTTAAAGATGTTTGAACTTAGCTTTAGTCTACCTCTACCTTGTCGGGGGAGCAGATCCGGTGAGTAACCTTGTGGTGAGTAACCTCATGCATAACCCAATAAAAATCTGCCACATCAGCGCCTCCTTCTCTCTCCTGGAAAAATCATTAATTTTCTTTCCCTTAATTTTTAACGGACGATTTCTCACTCGTTTTAAATCGGAATTTAATTTTTTTTTGCACAGTTAGATCAGATTAATTGTGCTCTTCAAAATGATATCCACTTTGATATTTTTTGGAACAAAAAAATTTGCCAGTTATTACTAGTCTATACCATATGGTATAGTCAATATCATATGGTATTGACTGGTATTAAATAATAGCATACCATATGGTATGAAAAATACCACCTCATACCAGGGTGGTATAGTATGGTATGAAGTTGGTAACGAGAGGTTTGAAATTTTTTCCCCCATAAAATTTTGAAATCCAATAGATCGTGATTAAATCGTTCCTTTTGTGCAAAAATTTCCGAAAATGACTAAACAACGAAGGAGATACCATATGGTAGGGAGTAGGTAACGAGAGGGATGAAAAAAAAATCTCAAAAAATATTGAAAATGGATATCATTTTGTATAGCACAACGGACTCGTTCCATCCGTGCAAAAAAAAAATTGAAATCCGAGTTAGAATGAAGAAGATATGATCCAATTAAGAAAACTAGGTAAAATAAATTCCTTTAATTCTCCACCCTTCGATCATCCGCAGTCACTTAAAAAACGATCCAGATTTGGTTACTCATTGTTATTCACACTAAGGTTACTCACCCTATTTTGAGCCGCTTGCCGGTTAGCTCCCACCAAACACCTATGACTAACCTACCCTCAACTTTACCTCTCATCCCCACGCAATGTAAAGTGAAGTTAAGAAAAAAATTGTTGATAATTAAAAAAAAAAGAATTCTGTTAGCATGACTATGAGTCTATGATGGCTCCGTAACTCCTTCCCGCAATGTAAACCACATTTAGTAATTAAACAAAAAAAAATTTGTAGCCAATATAGGCGGCCAAGTGGAAGGGGAGCAGCGGGCTCAAGATAGGGTGCATAATAGGGTGCATAACTATGAGTTATGCACCCATTAATAACCAAATATGGACCCTTCATTTAGAAAGTCCAGATCTAAGGATGAAGAATTAAAGACTATTTTTATTTTCACTAGCTTTCTTAATTGACTCATATCTTTTTCGTTTTAACTCGGATTTTAATTTTTTTTGCACAGATGGAACGAGTTCACCGTGCTCTACAAAATGAGATCAATTTTCAATATTTTTTTAGGAAAAAAAAATTCTGGCCTCTCGGTACCAACTGCATACCATATGGTATCTTCTTCGTTTTTAATTCGTTTTTGAAAACGTTTGCACAGCAGGGATGAGTTCATCATGATCTACTGGATCTACAAATTTCTTGGTGAACAAATTACAGGATCAAAAAATACCACACAATACCATACAATACCACCCTGGTACGGGTGGTATTGTATGGTATCTTCTTCGTTTTTAATTCGTTTTTGAAAACGTTTGCACAGAAGGGACGAGTTCATCATGATCTATTGGATCTACAAATTTCTGGGTGAACAAATTACCGGACCAAAAAATACCACACAATACCATACAATACCACCCTGGTACGGGGTGGTATTGTGTGGTATACAATGTTAAAAGTCGTAAATTATAATTAATATACTTCTACTATCATGTATTCAACCATCCTACAGTATTGGTTTGTTCATACCACCATGGTACGTTTTTCAAAACATAGGTATGCTTTTATTTCAATACCTGTCAATACCATATGGTATAGGCTGGTAAAAAATGGCTCAATTTTTTTTGTTCAAAAAATATATTAAAGTGGATATCATTTTGAAGAGCACAATTAATCTGATCTAACTGTGCAAAAAAAATTAAATTTCGACTTAAAATGAGCGAGAAATCGTCCGTCAAAGATTAAAGAGGGAAAAATTAAAGGCTTTCCATGAGAGAAAGGATGCTGATGTCATGCTGATGTGGATGGGTTACTCATGGTTACTCACCATAAGGTTACTGACCTGATCCATTCCCGGAGCAGCGGTTGGCTGCATCCCAGACTGCCGCTAAGTTTTCCCCTAGTTACTATATATATTAAATAATTTATATTACTGATACTACTAATAATAATATAATAGTTATATTACTTATTTTTTTTTTACGGTAAACTTGCTTAACTTTATTAACCAGATTGTGTCGTTACAATGTCAAGCTGCAACGGGTTAATCAAACATTGCGGGGGTTGATCTACCCAAACACTAACATCATTTGGACACAAAGTAAACTGCGCCATCTGGTGAGCTGCTTCATTTGCGGATCTTCGAACATGTCTCAATGAGCCTTGTCCCATTTCCTGTAATAGTCTACGGATACTTCGACAAACCGTACCAATCTCCATCTGAATCTCCTCGACAGCTTGAATCTTCTGTACCAGAGGTAAGCAATCCGTCTCCAAAGCTGCTTTAGTCACCTGGAATTGCTTTGCCATCAATAGTCCAAACTCCGCCGCCAAAGCCTCTCCCATATTCCCCTTCCAATCGCTTCGCAGCTGCCAACGTGAACTTGCCTTGATCGCCCCGGATCACCACACCCAGTGTCACGCCTGCGGCCGTTCCAAATCCAGCATCAGTATACTCCCCCAGTGACGGAAGCTGCCACGCCATCTCCGCTCGGGCTTCAGTCTCCTCCCTCCTCTTCGCTTGATTAACTTTGTAGTCTTGGAGGTAGTATTTAGCTCGTATAAAAATCTCATCCTCCGCCAGCTTATGTCCATTGAAGAGATGTGTGTTCCTCTCTTTCCATAAATACCACAACAGCACGCTCCAATTTTCTAGCGTCTCCTCGTCAACCTTCTTCATTACTTGTTTAAACCATCTATAACTGTCTTGCGCCGGTTGGTAGTTGAAGCAGTCTGCTACCTCCGAAGTCCTCCAAATCCGGCTCGTCCATTGACATTCACCAAAAAGGTGGATCTGTGTTTCGCGGAGATCGCAGAAAGGGCACTTGTCCCCTCGACGTTGGCTCTTTTCACTAATATGATCTCCCGTCGGGAGTACCTCTCTTGCAAACCTCCAAATGAATTGCTTTATTTTTGGAGCAATGTTCATATTCCACATCTTCTTCCATATAGCTTCTTCCCCAAGCCCGTTAATTCCATTCTCTTCTTTGAATTTCCCCAACTAAAATCTATAACTCTCACGGGCTGAATAAGATCCATTCTTACTAGCACTCCAAATCAAGCGATCTGGTTCGTGAATGCCGCGGAGTGGGATTTGAAGGATGTTCCTAACCAGCTCATTCGGGAAGCAGTTCTCCAGCAGGGAAAAATCCCATTGTTCAGTTACCGGGTCAACGATTTCACGAACTCATGAGTCAACCGGGAGGCCTCGTGGCGCTGAAGGCACAAACAAATCAGGGCTGCTCGGAATCCATTTGTCCCCCCAGATACACACGGAGTCTCCATTACCGATCCGCCATCTCAACCCACTGTTCAGGAAATCCAACGCTGACATCAGGCTGCGCCACATGTAACTGGTATTATATCCCACTCTAGCATCCAAAATAGATACATGCTTATGGTACTTAGCTCGGAGAATGGTAGCAATTAGTGAATTCGGCCGTTGATAAAGATTCCAAAGCTGTTTTGCTAATAGCGCCATGTTGAATCTCCTCAAGTCGCGAAAACCCATCCCACCCTCCATCTTCGAACAGACCATTTCTTCCCTTCATATCCAGCTTACCCGCCTCTCGGTCCCTTTCTGTCCCCACCAAAATGCCATAATCATCCCATGCACTTCATCCAACACACCCTTCGGCACCTTGAAAACCGTCATTGCGTAAGATAATTATGCCTGAGCTACCGACTTAATGAGCACTTCCCTAGCTGCAACCGACATCACTCTCTCCTTCCATCCCTTCAGTTTCTTTCTTATGCGATCAACAATTCCTGTAACCGGTTCTTTCTTCGATCGTCCAGCTACAGTTGCTAACCCCAGGTATTTCTCATGCTTGGCAACAATTGGCATACCCAGAGTTCTACTGACCAGGAGCTTGTTATGAGGCGAAACATTATCACTAAAAGATACTCCTGACTTGAGCTCACCAATTGACCCGACTCCCTCTCATAGATGTTGTCATCAGCAAAAAAATAAATGTGAGATAACGGGCGCCCTCGGTGCCGGTGACAGGCCATGCAGTATTTTCTCCTGAATCGCCTTCTCTATGTACGCCGAGAGATCTTCTGCGCATAGTAGGAGCAAATATGGCGACAACGGGTCCCCTTGCCGGAGCCCGCGGCTCGGCCTAAAACTCTGCGACTTATGTCCATTCACAAGAATGGAATAAGAAACCGATTTCACACACAGCATCACTCGTCGAATCCATTGGTCTGCGAAGCCCATCCTGCGCATCACGCCCTCTAGGAAATACCACTCGACCCTATCATAAGCTTTGGCCATATCAATTTTTTCCGCGAAATATCCACCTTTTGCTTTCTTCCTCTTCTTCATCGTATGAAAACATTCAAATGCTGCCATCACATTGTCCGTAATATATCTTCCTGGCACGAAAGCACTCTGTGCAGGCGATATCACTTTATCCAACAGACCCTTCAATCTGTTCGCAAGCACTTTTGATGCCATCTTATACAAGACATTACATAAGCTTATCAGTCGGAATTTTGTCGGAGAGGTAGGACTCTTCACCTTTGGAATTAGTGCTATAACTGTGTGATTGAGTCCCTGCGACATCACCCCTTCTTCGATAATCCCGTTTACTGTGCTTACAACGTCGTCCTCCTCCAATGTCCCCCAATATCTCCAGAAGAAAAGAACAGAAATACCATCATCACCAGGAGCCTTCCTTGCTCCCATCTGTTTTAGTGCCTGCCAAACTTCTTCACTTGTGACCGGTTTTAGAAGTTCTGCATTTGCGTATCCTCCTACAGATTGAGGTATTGAATCTAGCACAGGAGTCGCCTCCGGAGCATGTCCTGCACAAAATAGAGAACCAAAATATTCCAGGAGACAATTAGTTACTTGCTCTGTACCCAGATGCCACCATCCCATATGGTCTCGCAGCTTCTTTATCGTATTTCTTTTACGTCGAGCGGTTGCCTTTCTGTGGAAAAAATTTGTATTCTTGTCACCCTCCCTTAGCCAATCCGCTCTTGATCTCTGCTTCTAGTATTGTTCATCATCTTCCTCCAGCTCCTCCAACTCCGCCTCCAAAGCTTTCCGTTGCTGAAGAGTCACTTCTGTCTTAGGCGCCTGTTATATAGCTTTTAAAGCTCGTTTTATGCGCTTCTTTTGTTTTGAAAATTTTGTGAATGTTCTCCGGCTCCATTCCTCCAGCTTCGAGCTACAGTTAGCAATCTTACTCAGTATATCCGCACTCCCGGTCCCCTTCCAGGCCTCGTCGATGACACCTGCACAATCAACATGGTTAGTCCAATAAGGGTCAAACCGAAACGTCCAACCCCATTCAGGTTCTTCATCATCTTCGCCATTTGTGTCGCAGATGATGGGTCGATGGTCCAATTTATACTTATCAAGATGTCGGACTCTAGCATTACTGCACCGATCCAGCCACCCCTGCGACGCCAGGAAACGATCTAGGCGTTCCTCTATATAGCCGTCTCGCAGTCTATTATTCTCCCACGTAAATGTATACCCCTGGAAACCAAGATCGTGAAGACCCACATCAACTAAACAATCTCCGAAAGCATCCATTTCTCCTTTGTTTGAGGTCCTGCCACCTTCTTTTTCAGCCTCCATTAGGACTTGGATAAAATCCCTAGCACATAGCCAAGGACCATCCCAATGGGTTCCCAACCTTCTTATCAAATCCCACGTCTTATATTTTTCGTTACCCTCTGGACATCCGTATATACCGGTAAAACGCCAAACCCCATGTAATCCATCCTCTACCTTCATGTCCAAGTAATGCAGATCCGACCCCATGAGAGTCAGTTGTGCTTCCTCCGTCCACCATATACAAACTCCACCTGCTCTTCCTTTACCCGATACGACGCACGACCAACTCTCACCTCCAACAAAACCAAGCTCTTTCCACAACTCATCATTTTCTTCCTTAGTTTGTTTAGTTTCCATTAAGAAAAGGTTTAATACACTTGTATATCCAAAACTTTCACGGTTGTGCCAATAATATCCAAATTTCTGGAAATACCACTTATATCCAATTCCTTTACATTCTTTAAAGGTGTTTTTGGATATACAAGTGTATTTAACCAAAAATATATTGGGAAATGGATAGATTTGGCAAAGAACAACTTTAAAACATGGATATAAGTGGTATTTCGGGAAATTTGGATATTATTGGCACAACCGTGAAAGTTTTGGATATACAAGTGTATTTAATCTTAAGAAAACTATGTGTGGGGATGATTGTCGCAGTAGCGACCTCAGACTTCTAACTGCCCGCTTGCTCCCACCGCGACAGTTGTAACTCAATATTCTCATTTATTCCTCGAAGGGGATAGGTTCCCCGCACCATGTTCAGAATTGTTTCCATTCGGCTTTAATCCTTGCGGATCGAGCAGACTATTCTTTGTTTTTTCCCCGCCTGCTCCTTTCTCCAATTTCGACGCTGATTTCTTTGCCACAGCTTGCTTCCCTTCTTATTTTGACGCATTATCATTCTCTAACCTCGAATTCACGTACACACTCTCCCCATGCATTTCCATATTGATGTCCCTTTGTTGCCCTTTCCCTTCCTCCTTTTTATCCTTCTTATTCTGGTTTCCTACCCCCTTCTCAGCTCCTTTTGAGGGTGTTCTTCCTGATCCTTCTTGCTCACTCCTCCCTTGTCCCTCCACACTTCCTCCATCTTGCTTCCCCTTTACTCCTATCGACTCCTTCTCTCCTTCCTCAACAACCACCTCTTCATCGTTTAACGTTTGGAACCGATTTGTAGTTCTCTTGATTCCATCCTCATTCCTCCCCCGTCCTCTCTCCTGCCCCGCTACAGCCCCCTTCTTCACCGGACGCCGATACTTCTTTTCCACCATCATCCAGTCACCATAATCATTACCATTACCCGGGTCTTCCTCCTGTGTCTCTGGTGCCTCCGATATTTCCTCTTCCTCTCCCATTGGGAAGACTACTGAACAGTCACAAAGGTGTGTGGGTTTTCCATATTTTCCACATTGCCTGCAAATATTTTGTAACCCCTCGTAACCAATGAGATATTTCCTTCTTTCCACAGTATATTGTCCCGACATGGGCTTGGTTAGATCAACTTCTACACATACTCTAGCAAATTTTGCCCTTGACCCCAGCTCGGAAGCCCGATCTACACGAACAGGTTTTCCAATCAACTCCGCAATCTGCATCACTGCTTCCGCATTATAGAATTCAATTGGTAACTTTGGGAGATGAACCCATACTAACGTAGAAGATACCGATGCTTTCCAGGGGTCAAAGCCCTTATACCACATGTGTACCGCTAGATATGTATCCCCCAAGATCCAAGGTCCCCCCGTTGTGGCATAATCATAGTCCTTACTTCAAAAACGGACCAGAAAGCAACCGTTGTCCATGTCTGAGATCTGCAAATCCCCATGATGAGCCCATAAATAATTCAAACGTCTTGCCAACGGTATGTAAGGTACCCTTCTTCCCAAACCTTGTACCACCAGAGCAGACCTCCACTCTCTTCGCCACTTATTCTTTTGAGCCGCCGTGAACAGCACCGGCGGGCATCTAGGGTTATAGTTTTCTTCCTCAAAGACATTGTCCTCTTCCCTCTCCAGAGCCGCCACATCTTCTGAATCTGAATCGGCCACGTACCATCCCTCCTCCTGGACTACGTCACTAAAGGAACGCGACCCGTTCTGCCAAGCATTCGGTTTTGGGTTCCCCTCCCCCGATTCTCTTTGTTGGGATTCCGTCTCAGCTGTATCCATCTCCGCGTCTCCCATCGTATTATTATTTGCCTTTCCTGGTTCCAAGTTCAGGGACTTCACCTTCTTTTTTGCTTGAACGGTCTCCTTCTCGCTTTTTCCATCCGACGAAGAGGATCTCATTGCCGGACGACGAGCCCCAGTAGTCTGATCAGGGGGCTTCCCCGTCGGTTTCAGCATTGTCGACGGCGAGCTTGCCACCATGGGAGGCGAAAACCCTAATTCGCAGTTCGTAAGTTTTTCCTTTCCGAAGAAACCGGAATTCTTTTTCAGAATTGGTTTGGCAAATCTTGAGAGCAGTTATATTACTTGTTCGGATTAGAGCTAGTCGCTAGCTTCTTGCTAATCCGATGAATATAATAACATTGGTTGAGAATAATTAATAATGCAATCAAATTAGTAGAGATGTAAGCAAAACAAGCAACACTTTTTTAGCTGGATATGCACGAATTAAAAACTCTAGTTTATACGAGTTAATTGTGATAATTGTTTTATAACAAATAATAGTGATAATATTGTTCATATTTTATATATTATTTTCTTGACAATAATAAATTATTCATTAAAATAATATAATGTTGATGCTCTGTTCACGCTCTCAAAACTGAATTCTTACAAAATTAGCGCTCTCGCTCCACGCTCTTGTTATCTAAAGGTTGTCAAACTGGTTTATATTGTTGCACCGATTTGGCAAGTGAAATGGTACGGTGCAACCGGTTTATGTCGGTTCATGTCGGCTTAATAAAATACGTCATTCCAAAAAAATAACAAATACTCATACTTAAATATAGTATTTAACGTCAATATCTAAACTTATCTAAACTTTTTTACCTGAATACATCAAGTTACATCACCTTTTAACTTTTATATTCATAAAACATATAATAAATTTATTTTGTATCAATCAAATTTACTAAAACGACGTTATTTTACTTAGAGTTCGTAAATCGATCATACTGGTCATACTGGTGATATTGGGTAAATACAATTTAATATCCAAACCTTTCATTTTAAACAATATAATAGCCAAACCTTTTCGAAAACAATCTAATATCCAAATCGTCAACTTTCCGTTCGTTTGAACGTTAGTTAACACTTCAAAAAGCTTTGTTTAGGAGAAATTGTCACAATACAACTTTGTTTCTTGTTTTGGCATTGCATATGACTGAATATTTAGATATTCTATACCATCATGGTGGAGTCATGGACTTCTCGGGTTTGGAACTACGATATGCTGGTGGTTTTTCAGAGAAGATATCGATGGATTTTGATGAAATGTCGTACTTCGAACTTTTTTGAAGTGTCAACTAACGGTCAAACAGACAGAAAGTTGACGATTTGGATATTAGATTGTTTTCAAAAAGGTTTGGCTATTATATTATTTAAAATAAAAGGTTTGGATATTAAATTGTATTTACCCGGTGATATTTATGCTAGTTTCAAAATCGACACTGATTGAACCAGGTTCAACTGGTCGGCTTGTCACAAGCATGACAACCATGGAAAAGGGTAATTGAGCTTGTGTGAAGGGGTAATTGGAATTGGGATGGCTATTCCAAGAAGGAGCATATGGGTCGGTTGGATGGTCGTCCGATGACAGGATGAAAAGAGTAAGTGACGACTGTGAATTGTGATGGGGAAGTGGTGGTCAACGGATTGTTAAAAAAAATAAGAGATCGAAGAAGGTAGTTACTAGGTAGATGAAGATGGCCATTTTCCGTTGTATCGGTTACTCTTTTACTATAAAGTAAAACGAATTGCAATTTGCAATTCGAGAACCAAACAATGAAAGGGCTGCAATTGTGGCCACCTTGCAGAAAAGAACTATGGAAAAAGCTAAAAACTCTCACTATTCCCTACATCACCAAATTTAAATCTACTCCATGATTCTTAACATTCTCAAATCCTGCCTCATCAACTCCTGCAAAATCTGAACATCACGATCGACTCGTTATGGTATCTCCTACACCTTTCCGGTCAAATGTAAGCAAGCATCATGCACCATTTAATACCAAGCGAGGCACCCTTTACAGTCATGGCTGCTCGACACACTGAATTTAGTGACTCCTCCCAGGAAGGTCGACACACAATCTCAACTCTAAGAAAACTAGCTACTACACTATCGAACAAAACCACAGCTGAAAAACAAATGGTCTCGCATTTCACTTCCACTGTGACAGAGGATACAACTATCCTCATGAATCTTTCCCAATTGCAATAATTTGCTCTTAGTTGTAATGGCATCAAGAATGACCAGCTAGGCAACAAAACTAAACTTAGGGACACTGCTTTGGTCTCAAACCAACCTGTACCAATCGACTTCGTTATAATGGGGACATAAAGTATTTCAGATGAGCTTGATCGAATACTTTTGCATTGGTTTTCCATCCCACAAAGCACAATCTCCTTTCCCGCTAAGAAGAGGCTGCACCAGGGATCTTTTCTTCAATATTTGACGCCAAACCCAAGACCTATTAGCATTTTCCTTCATATTCCATATGTCTCCTGATTTACAGTGATACTTAAGCATCCAGGCAACCCAAAGTGCTCCTGACTGCATCAATAAAAGCCATAATAAGCAAAGAGAACAAGTAGAGTTCCAGCCTTCCAGGAGCTTAACTCGTGAATGCCAAGTCCTCCTTATTTTTTATGACGCGCTAGTCGACCCCAAGCAATTTTTTCCTTCCCAGTATCATTACCATGCCAAAGAAAATCCATGCAAAGCTTCTGAACAAGTTTCAGTATCTTCTTAGGCAAAATGAAGACTTGAAGCCAATATTGTACAAGTCTAGAAATCACCGAACTAATCAACTGCAACCACCCAGCATATGATAACTTCTTAGCATGCCAAGATCTTATTCTTTTCGTTATTGCTGTCGTCAGAGCTTCACATTCTTTATCAGTCAACTTTCCTGATATAAGGGGTAATCCCGGATAGCGTACAGGAAGAGTACCTTCGAAAACCCCAGATAATTCAATGACATTCTGCTTATAAATGACTAATTCACCACCAAAAAAGACAAACACTACCCAGGATTACACTTTAACCCAGATTGCCAAAAGAACTTGTCCTGAACTTGCTTCACAACAATTATCGCTCTTGTTGATCCTACTGTTGAAGATCAGTAGATCATCAGCAAAGCAAAGATGATTTAAAGAAACCTTGCTACAGAGAGGATGAAAGGGGACCAGTCCTTGTAGAGAGGCTCTATTCAGCATAGCAATCAGACCTTCCATGGCAATTGCGAAGAGGTAAGGTGATAGAGGGTCACCTTGCCTCACACCCTTTTTTGCACCAAAGAATCCTTTCATACCGCCATTAACACAGATACTGAATCTAGTTGTAGAGACATAGGTTGTAATCCAATCCAAATATAGAGCTGGAAAATCCATCAAATTCATCACCATAAACAGATAGTCCCAATTAACTAAATCGCAAGCTTTCATAATATCGATTTTGATAACACACCTTGAAGATAATTGTTTCCGATGATAGCCACTTACCAATTCTTAGCAAGCATGATATTATTCACTATTTGCCTACCTTTAATACACTATCTACCTACCTTTAATAAATGTTGTTTGATTTAAGCTAATCACAGAAGACAGAACCTCACACAACCTCTTAGACATGATTTTTGCCATTATCTTATAGCGCACATTAACACAAGAGATAGGACAAAATTCTTCGAAAGTTTCAGCATTTAGTACCTTTGGTATAAGAGCTACAGCAGTGGCATTAACTCCACTTAGCAGCCTCCTTATCTCAAAGAAATCCAGGACCCCTTTTGTAACATCTGCCCCTACAATGTGCCAAGTCTTTTTGAAAAGCCCGAGGAGAAGCCATCAGGGCCTAGTGCTTTGTGAATATTCATTTGAAAAATGTTTTCCCGTACTTCATCAGTTGTTACTTCCTTGCAGAGCAGTTCCTTATCTACTTGTGATAATTTTCTTTGTATAACCTTTTTAGGAGCAGAAAGTCAGGCTGAACTTCAGAGTTGACCACTCCAAAAAGCTTTTGATAGAATGCAACTGCCTCATTTTTACCCTGTCAACTTAGTAATAAGTTCCCTTATCTCATTTTTAATTCTTCTAATTACCCTTTTTTAGCATCCTCCAACTATGACAGCAAAAACTTTTTCTATTGAAACTTCTCAGTTGTAGGGGTTGTAAGACAACCAGCCATAACTCTCAAGTCTAAACACTTGCATCTCCAGCTCATTTACTTGAGTACTAATATTAGCATAATGTTACATATTCAACTTCTTTAGAGCCTTTTTAACCTCATTCAGCTTAGTCTGCATGAACTCCAAGAACTACCAACACACTGAAAAGACTAAGCTTCCTTAACTATGCTAAGGAAATCAGGGTGTTCACTCCAAAATTTAAAGTATTTAAAAGGCTTGGGCAAAGACTTCACTTGCGACTTGGCATGCATAAGGATACCACAATGATCCGAGAAAGTACCAGGGATGGTATCCATAGTACAATTGGGAAATCGTGTCATCTAGGATACATTCGCCATGGCTCTATCA